AAATTTTATTGTATTTTTTTAATGTCTCATTCAAGAGACTTGACCATGGCATCGAGGTGAACCTCCTCACCAAGTCGGCTATTCAAATGAGCCAAAGCGCTCTCGTGGACGAGGCGTCAAACTAGACATTATACGATGCAAAGTCTGCAATGAGAGCGTCCTTCTTCATGTGAGGAAGCTTATACTCGTTGCTGCCATGTATTTCAATGGACAATTCCATAACTTTTTGAAGGGTTACGAAAGTCTTTGCAAGCGTGTCAGTCGGCAACTCATAGAACGCATTTTCTACAGCAACAATAATCTCCTCGATGGTTCGAGTGCACAATAAGCTCCTCGATGGTTCGAGTGCACTTTTGGTACTGTAGGCTTTGAATAGAATTAAAGAATTCTAAATCTAACACGTTGAAATCGGGGCTGTTCGGGGGTTGGTTAGCCACTCCAATGCCACAAACTCCATGTGCACAAAGCTTTTCTGTCGTTACATTTCTGTGCGGGCTTGCATTGTCTTGTTGGATCAGCACATTACCCCGTCTGCCACATCTAGGAAACTTTTCCTGGATGGCGGGGACAACCTTATTTAATATTGTATTAAAATAAAATGGTGCGTCGACGGATTGTGGGGTGGTGACCATGGCGCCCTTCGACCTGTTCTTGCTTCCACGCTGCGCTGGCGTCACTTGAACGAAGGGCCAAACACCAACCTTGCCGTCCCATTCCTTTTTGCCGTGTGGGTCATATCGCGGCCTGGCCACAGCGGCAAGGAACATCACCTTGGTGATAAAGCGCTTGGACTTGACCGCCCGAGCCGCGACCTCTTCGTCGTCGTACACATAGTACCTACGTTTAACCTTCGTCAAGTAGAACCACTTTTCGTCAACATGCACATAGTCGTGCATGTCGTTGAAAAGATGGCGTCCACTTGGCAAAGGCCGAACGAAGGACATGGCAAACTTGAGTCGTTCTTCGATGTTCGCAGGGGTAAGATGGGGCTTGACGTAGTTTGACCGCGCCTTGGAGCGAGGATTCTTCTTCATGTGGCTAAAGATCGTCGTCATGGGGATTCCACACGCGGCCGACAGAGAGCGTAAGGTCTGCCGTTGCATTTGTGGCACGTTTCGGATGGCAGCTTCAATTTCGTCGCTTGTTCGGAGCGCATGGCGTCCAGAGTTCCCTTAAAAAGTACAACCTCATATATCAAGAATTGCATAAATTTATAAAAATATCTGGTTTGAGAGAATTACCCTTGGTTTTTGAGGCGACATCGGCGGCACAGTGGCCGCCGCGGAGCGAGAGACGCGCTTGCGTCCACAGACGTGATATCGTTTGCGGATGGCAGCGAAACATCTGTGCAAGCTCAGTGAGAGCCCCACGGGGCAGCACACCATCAACGGCGACGCTAAGCAGCGTTTCGTAGGCCGTGCGGCGATGGGCGAAGCTCAAGTGCTTGCGCACGTCCGCGAGGTCCCGGACGGCGACAGAAGCATCACCGGTTCGCCGTGGTGAACGAGGAGGCATGTAGTGGCGATATGTGTGTGCAGGAAGTGCTGCGTAGCCAATAAATTGTGTAATGAAGTTCTGGCGGGTCATTTTGTAATAGCTGACCATGACCCGGAAGTTTTGCCGCGCAATATCTCAACAACCAAAATGGCTGGAAAGTGCTTCCAGAACGCCAATCAGACACTCAATTGGAGTATTTTTAGAAAAATGCCGCCAATCAAAAGTACAACATGACAAATTTTATGGAACAGCGTGGTACTTCCTCTGTTCCGTTAAGGTGGAGACCATTGCTTTTCGACAGAATTTTATCTTCATATTTGTATATCTTCAAATTGCCAAAAGTGTATTTTTATTCACATTTGAGATTATACGACGAGAGTGAACATGATATCATGAGCCTAGTTTTCATCTGTGCTCAAATCCTGCACAATTGTACAGAGTTCATCAATATTCGACGTATTGATTGCACCATCATCACACACGACTCAAGCACACTCGATAGTTTATCTACTCTACGCTCGAAGTCCATCCGACTATTCATCGCTTCGATGGCACCAGCAACGTCTGGGTCACACGCCAATTGAGATGTCAGCAATCCCTGTCTTGCAAGCTTGTCCTTGTGCAAATGTGGCAACTTGTACGTGTTGTCTCCACCGACCTTCAAAGACTCTTCCATGACCTTTTGAAGAGTCACGAACGCCTTGTCCAAAGTACGAAGGTCCAGCTCATCGAAGGCCGCATGAACGGCTGCAACGAGATCGTCGATGCAGGTGACCACCTGGCGATGCTGCAGTGCTTGGATTGAGTTGAAGAACCCTAGGTCGAGCACATTGAAATCGGGACTCATGGCGGGCTGGGCGACAAGTTGGATTCTCCAGCCGCCAGTGGTACCAGCAGTAGCCACTGCCACGTCGTCAACTTGAACATGCGCGTTGTCCTGCTGGATGTAAACAGGCACGTCGCGCCGTCCAGGCCAAACTTGCTTGATTCGCGGCACTACCTTGTTGACGAGGAAATCGCGGTACACAGGCTTCGTCACTGTGATTGGGGCCGTGACCATGGTCCCACGAGGTCGGTTCTTGCTAGTTCGTTGAGCAGGGACCTCGGACACGAACGGCCACATCCCGATCTTGCCATCCCACATCGTCTTGCTGCCATGGTCATAGCGGGGACGGGCAACGGCGGTCAAGAACATAACCTTGATGATGTGGCGTTTGGACGAGCATTTTCGAACCGGCAAGTCTTCGTCGTGCCATAGGTAGTAACGCCGCTTGACCATCGTAACATAGAACCACTTCTCATCGATGTGGACACGGTCCATCATGTCGTGCCACATCATGCCGTCACGACACTGTCGAAGAAATGAGCGCGCGAACACCACCCGGTCAGCTTTGTGCTTGTCAGTAACCATCGGCTTGAGGTGACTTGTTCAACGTCGTAGCTTCTTTGACTGCAGCAGCCGCCAGAGAGTCGTGGGAGCAATGCCACTGGACACCGCCAACGATCGCAGGGTCAGGCGCAAATGGGGTGGCACGGCTTTGATGGCAACTTCCAAGTCCTTGATCGATCGACGACGTGGACGACCACACCGGCCTTTCTTCTTGTTGGCGACGTTGGCAAGGCCAGTGCGAGCCTTGGACTCCTGTCCCGCCTTCCAAATCTTGGACAACGTTTGCTTCGACAGGCCGTACTGCTGCATGAGTTCCTTGCCTTTGCCGTAGGGAAGCCGACCGTTCTCTTTGTGCTGCAGCAGCTCGTGGTACAAACTTAACCGCTGGTCGTTGGGAATGTCGTGTTTGGTCGTGGCACGCCGCATCGTGTATCTTCCGGAACTCCGCCCACAGAAAATTTTTCTGAAGGGCGCTAGCTGTATCTACGCAACGAGACGAGTCGTTTGCGCTTGATTTGAACTCGATTGGATAAGAAATGACTTAGTTACGGGTGTTTAAAGATTGGCTGGGCTGAGTTGAAAGCTTTGGCCGAGGGTTGTGAAGTCATCTCAACCAATAAAATTGATCTAAAAATAGCCACGAACTCGTCTTTTAATTGGCTACAATCGAGTACAATTTCAGCCAATTCTGGCGATTACTGCCAGAGAGAGTGATCTCAGATGAAACGGTCTCCACCTTTACGGAACAGAGGAAGTACATTTTTTCATTGGTCGTCAACTCTTCTGGGTGATGGTTCTCTGCGCTCGTGGCCAATAAAATTGATACGAAAAATACGTTGAATAGAGCTCTTCATTGGCTGTAAAATGTGCCTAATTGCAGCTGAATTGGGAATAAATGGAGTGAATTTCGGACTTTCAAAAATTGTGTCAACAGTATTCACGAACGGAGGAAGTACCTATTTATCTAGTATCAGTAGGCAGGTCGTTGTGTGAGTAACTAAGTTTTCATGTAAAGATAGAAAAAAATCGAAGCCACATCATAATGGACCGCTGGGCTAGTGGGGGACCCCCAAAAATAGCATAAACACAAACGCAAACACATACTTGGTGAGACTTCAGTGAAGTCTAACCAAGTATGTGTTTGTATCGCGTATCTCACATATGTGGAGATGTGGAGTTTTTTGGCTGTTTCGCAGATTCCCTGCGTTTAACAAAGTGTAGGGCCAGCCAATAGGACATACCAGTCATTTTATGGTACCTGGCCTCTTGGATAGCATTGCGCTTTGATGAACGCACGGAAGCCACGAACCAAGTCGAAGAACTTCTCAAGTGAAGTGACGTCACGGCTCCTTGACCTCGTCGAGGAGCTCAAGCCTTTTGGGGGCAACATGTGGGAGCGCATGGCGTTTGAGTACAATCGCACGGACCCATCCGCTTGGCCGGAGCGCGATGGAGTCAGCCTGAAGCGAAGATTCCAAGGTTTAAACAACAAGACGAAGCCAACCGGGACGTCCTATTGCCCGCCTGACGTCGAGCGTGCGAAACTACTTGGCAATCCAGACCAAGGTTGGCGCGATTGAGCTGCACCACCAGGAAGAAGATGGCGATGCAGCAAGCGACCCTTCAGTGGGTGGTCAAGACGACATGGACGAAGTCGACGACGTCTGCGTTGAAGCCCTCGTTGTGACTTCTCGTCTTGGAAAGGATGAAGCCGACTTTGTTACAGCAATCAAGGTGGAGAAGAACAAGCCTAGCTGTCTATGGCTGCGCAGCGTCGGTCGTCGTTAGACAACTCAATCGGTATGTACAATGTCTATATATATTTATTTGATAAGTTCTTGTCGTGTTGATTGCCATGATTTTTACCTTGACTTTACTGTCTAAGTATCAATAGTTTTTACTCTGGCTTGCATGGTCTTGCATTATCACACCATTTATCATGATTGTTTATTTTATAATTTTTTATTTGTAATGAAATTTATCATGAGTATTTACGGTGATTTTTAGCAAAGCTCGCAGCTGCGACCGATGTCGCACAGGCCGCAGATCTATTTTTATCAATTTGGATAAAAATGGAAGGTGATGCTCATGCTCGGGATTCCGAGTGGAAGAAGGAGCAGGCCGAACTGCGCCGCCAAGAGATTTTGGAGCGCGAAGAATCGAAGAAGGAGCAGGCCGAGCAACGTCGTCGTGATGACGAAACACGACGTCAAGAGCTGAAGGCCCGTGAGGAGCGCGAACGCGAAGCTCGCAAGCGTGAACAGCAACACGAACTTGTCATGATGTCGTTCATGGCAAAATTGTTAGGGAATTCAAACTAACCTTTAGGATTAACATGTAAATGGTTATCCAACTTGTAATCCTAAATGCGTTTTTCCAACTTGTAATGTTACTGCTCATTAGCTTTTATCAAACATCTACGTGACAAATAGTAAAAATCGAACTGCTACAACCGGTAGTTATTTACTTGGTTGAAACACTGATCGGATGGCGTTGCTAGTTCGCGTGACTGCTTCATGCAGCACCGGCGACGTCTTTTCAAGATCCCCCGACTTGAGGGGGGTTACAATACTGTAGTTTCCGTTCTTGACAGGGAATGCAGTGCCCGCAGCCACACCACTCCGGGTGCTAACACGCCTGGTTTCCTCAGCAGATCGATGAGAGGGCGACTCATTTCTCCATCGTTCCACAAACCCGGGAAGTTATGCTTCCCAAACGCGAGGCCCATCAACGCCGTACAACAACACGCCAGTTACATAAACCGAATGTAACCAACCTAAATTACCAAGTCAAACTGTTATTTGCAACTTAACAACAATAATATTATACCTACCGTTGTAAAACGCATTTTGAATGTCGCGATGGCTTGGCTCCTGCACTGGGTAATTCTTTCCGTCAAGGAAAAATGATACTCGTGGCGCATTAGGCTCACGAGCACTGCATGCATCAGCCCATGCCAATTGCGTAACATGGTTTGGGAAGCAAATTGCAGCTTCTGGAGTGCAGCGGAGAGCCTCAAGCAGTGCACATTCTGCATTAAGCAGCACCCGCGATAGTGTCGTACTCGGCATACCAAAGAGTTCACAAAGCGTTTTGTGTTCTACAGGAGCTGAGTACAAGTGAAGCAAGGAAGCAAGTACAACGTGCTTCTCAGCGCAACGTGCTAGTCTACCACGACGATCTATAATTGTTAATCTAAGTCTTCCAGTGCACAACATATACTTTGAAATACTAAATACCTCGTCCGGATTTCACGATGTACTTATTCGAAAACACCTTGAGAAGTCGTTCAAAAGAACCAACATCGAGACTAGTAAGCTCTGATCGCACTTGCTCGTATACATCGCGCGCCATGGGATATCTTTCGTTTGAACGAGGGCAGATGATTGAATCTTTAATTCGTAAGACGATCATCATTATATGTGTTATTGACCTTGTTGCGAGTCCTAGTCTTCATTCGCAAGCGCATCATCAGCGTGAAAAGGAGTCGTGTGTGGCCTTCCCATGCTGAAGAGACCGTCGCCGTGCCGCCAGGAGTGAGAGGAGCTTGCCTCCCATTAAGGTAGAGCAGCCAGATTCGCAAGTGCTGGCCAAAACAACTTTAAGCCAGTCGTTTTTGGCACTTGTGCTCCTGATTTTTGGGTGGCACATCTTGGACATGTAAATATAAACGCAACACATACAGTGACACATCCACAACATATGCCAAACACAAACTTGTGACTTGTGCTATTTTGGGGGGTCCGCCAGTGGTCAATACGTTGGGTTCATAACCAGGCCTCGGAAAAATAGTATGGAATAGTAGGGAAGACATTTAAAATGAAAGCATACTTATGGAAAATTGCATATTGGCTGCCCTACTATATTTCCCTTTTTAACAACGATCCCCTACTAAGGGACCCTACTTTCCCTAAGGGTGACTTGGAACTCGGGTTGCAAATTCGGCTTGTTGAACAACTTGTGCGTCCCAAAATCGCTGGTTTACATGCAGGAACAACAGCAACTCCACATGGACAGGATACAAACTTTGGCGGTGGTCTGTAAGGATCATTTTGGCCGAGAACAAGCGTTCAACAATGTTCGACGTTGCCAAGATAAATGATACGTCAACAAACGCTGATGATACCAGTCGACGACGCTTTGAGCTCAGAATGGACTGGGCAAAGCTGCAGCCATCCTTGTCGCCAGGTATCTGAAAATCACTCGAGGTGCACTGCAGCATAGCTACAGCATCTAATTCGTCTTGCTACAAAGCATCAAGGTCGCCTTCAATGATTTTGACAACGCCACTTTCGAAGCTTGGGTTATTGATGATTCGTGAGCGTCCGGATAAGAACTTTTCCGTTTCCGGATACTTCGCCATCACGCCTTCAAACAGGCACTTCACGGTTGCCATGGTTGTTTTCGGAGACTGCAGCACAACGGTCACGCTTTCGAAGTCCTCCAGCGTTGCCACCAGCTTCCGGATACCAGCCACCTCCCCGTGACTTAGCATCATGGGTAAAATATCCGGAATTATAACTAGACATGACTCGATTGTCAAAAAACGCTTGAGCATCTTGAAGTCACTCGACCATCTAGTGACGTTCCGCAGCACCGGAGCCAGGTGGGTACGTTGACGCAACGCTCCTCGATGTTTAAGCGTATGAGCTTTTTGCATGATACTGCTGACCTGTGCCAAGACATCACCAAGGGGCTCCATGACAAGCCCAGCAGCCAAGTTGAAACGGTGCGACCCACAACCAACCAATGGAATACCCAAGCGATCCGCCATCGCGCGGTTAGTCGGGCAGTTGTCGCCAATGAGACACACCACATTCATTATCGATTTCCCGTATGACTCAACCGTAGTTTTCAGGAAAGCATTGTGGCTGTCTGCACTGAGGTCGGATTCGTCGAGTAACGGCGATATGGCGAGTAAGGGGCATCGGTGCAACTTCGACTCGGGATAGACGTACGAAGCGAAGATGGCGCAGTATGAAGTTCCTCCGGAAGACCAGCCGTCGAAGATGATGGCAAACTTCTCGGGAATTTCTTCGGCAATTGGTTGTTCGACCAGGTCCTCGACAGATCGGATCTCTCTTTTTGAGGGCCTTGGATGAGGTCTTGGGCAAGTTCGTATACTTCGAAACTTCTCGTCGTCAACAGTGAAAAATGGGAGATAGCGTGTTAAAATCGACCACGCCACGATTGGGGGCTTCACTGGTAGTAGAGTGGGGCGCGCTGGCATGGTCCACTACACTCGCCAATAAAGAACTCAATCGCTGTCTCGGCCTCCACCAAGCCCTACACTACCTACACGTCACGGCTCAACATATCCAAGGCATAATAAACACACGACCAGACGCAGGATCACGGGCCAGCCACGAGCCATACACAACTCTATGGTGCGCGGCAATGAGGGTTGGACCCAATCAGCATTTACGCCACTCCTATCTTCCCTGTCGGAACTTCAACGAGTGTCTTTGGCCCCATGCTCGCTACAAGGTACTCTGAAGTCTGGCGCGAATGGAGAACGTTTGGCTGATCGCTCCGACTACCCAAATGGCTGTCAAATCACGTACAATCACATTCAACTGATCTCTACGCATTGCCCTATACCTCTAGTCAGCGAGTTGGGCTGTTCCAACATCGCCACCACAATCAAGTCCAAATTCACAATTGTGTCGTGGTACCACCAATGTAACCGCGGCTACTCTACTCGCATCGCACCTCTACACAGCATCCAACTCACCGGCATGCAACGCTCCCGCACCCACTCCCACGCCAAAGACCTCATCTCCGTTAATATCCTTCCTCTTTGCCCTACGCAATCGGCTACACCTCGAAACCCACCAAGACCCAGTCATCTCGGGCTCTACTGTCCTGGCTTTCTTCTTTCATCTCCGTCAATCCGAATACTCCTCCGTTAACGGCAAGCCAATCAATCACATCATCCGCATCCAAGTTGTATTGTTCCTCGACGCCCTGGGTCGCACAGCTTCAACGCACAACAACATCCGCAAAGTCCAACTGCGAATTCGGAGCTCAAAGTCCGACCAATCAGGTCGTGAAATCACTTACAACTGGCAACTTCGGGCGTGACTTGGTTATGCCCAGTGGCTGCAGCGTGGATCCTGTGCACCAAGCGCGTACAATTGGTGTCAAGCCAAACGAACCACGGTGTTGCATCAAGCGTGGTAAACCCATGCCCTCCGAACTCATCAGAACACGCATCAAACTGGCTGCTGGTGTCACTGGTCAAGATGCTCTCAACCCATTCGCTGCGAAAGTTGCGGTGCGTCGGCTTTGTTTCGCGGCGGCGCTACCGACCTGGCAATTCAACTGTTCGGTCGGTGGACGTCAGACGCCTTCGAACGATACACCAGAATGGATGGGCAAGAAATAGCCAACAAGACCACCGAAATGGTCTCAACAGGATTTTCATATGGGGCGACCGCCACGCCGCTCCCAAGGCTGGCGGTACACAATTCACCTTTGTAAAAATTGTATATGTCGCTTGTACAATCAAAATTCAAGCAGGCTTGAACTAGATCGTAGAAATATTTTAACATATTTTCACGCGTAACGGATTTGCGTCCCTTTCATAACTTTTGAGCTAGTCGGCCCGGTTGACACCTTAGAGCATCCCCACCGGCTGATGTAAACATAGAGCTGAAATGATCCGTTTATTGAGTGCGTGCTGTAACAGTAGTACATCACTTCACAGCCAATCCACACCGGTTGGCGGAAACTGTAATCCTGATGGGCAAACTCGCGTAGTACGCCCGCTGGCGATTGAGGTTTTGGAGCTCTCGCAAGTCGAGAATTTAGTGCGGTAGGGTTGGCATACTGGTATTCTACAGTGGCTGTGAAAGTTTAAGTCCACCTGTCAAAATTTCGAAAATTTGAGATTATTTCTAAAATATTTGTCACCTTGAAACGAGTCTTGAACCATTCGATTCGTACTGCAATTGGCAAACAAGTTCAACTATCGATGACGTAAAACCTGAAGAACAGCTGGCTAAAATTGAAGTCAAACTTTGTACCACTCTCAAAAAGTTTAAGTCCACATCATAGCACGGCGACATTCAAACACAAACATGAACTCTAATCGTCTACCATCACCAAAATCTCATTTATAATTGCAACCACACCTCCACAACCAACTACAGCACTCAATAGCTCTATGAAACGAAAGCATGGGCAAGGGCAAGGAGCACCCACCTGAGATACGCAGCATCGTGATTTCAAAGCACAAAAGCGGTCTCAGCTACGCCCAAATCGCCAAGGAACTGGAAATACCTAAACCATCGGTCAAGTCCATAATAGAGGCGTTCAAAAAAACTGGTCTTGTTCGTTCTGCACCTCGGACTGGCCGCCCACGTGTGACAACCCCGCATGAGAACTGCATCATCGTTCCCGCGGTGAAGCAAAACCGCCGCCTAAGCGTTGAGACGCTGCAGGAAAGCTTTGCCGTCTTCCACCACAAGGACATTTCGCAGGCGACTATACGTCAACGTATACGAGAAACTGGTTTCCATGGGCGTGCGGCACGCCAGAAGCCATACCTGTCAAAGGCCAACAAGAAGAAACGCCTGGACTACGCCAAGAAGTACCAGCATTGGACCAACGATGACTGGAAGAAGGTGCTATTCACGGACGAAAGTCCGTTCAATTTGACCGGCTCGAGTGGGCGTATCTACGTCTGGCGCCGACCCGGCGAAGAGTTCAACGAGGCCTGTGTCGTTCCTACGTTTAAAAGTGGGCGTCAGTCGGTCATGGTGTGGGGGGCCATAGTAATGAATGGAACCGGCACACTGGTGTTTATCGACGGCAAGGTGAGCTCTGAGGACTATGTCGAGCTCTTGGAGGCCCAGCTGCCCGACAACTTTGCCAAATTGGACCTCCCGCTTGACTTCGTCTTCCAACAAGACAATGCCCCCATACATAAGGCGAAAGTTGAAATGCGCTTGTTCGACGATAATGCTGTCGAGACTCTTGCCCACCCACCTCAGAGCCCAGACTTGAACCCGATTGAACACGTGTGGGAGGAAATCGAGCGGAAGATTCGTATCATGCCTGCAACGTCGCTTGGTGACTTGCGATCGAAAATTGAGAGGTTGTGGGATGAAATTCCCTTGGAATACATCCAAAAGTTGATTCAATCGATGCCAAGCAGAATGGCCATGGTTGTTGCAGCCAAAGGTGGTCATACCAAGTATTAAATTTGAAATACGCTCACTTTTTTCGTTTCATTGGTGTCGGACTTAAACTTTTTGACATGATACTTTTTATCGTCTTGTCTACTTTCTAATTGGCGCTGGCTTGAAGATCGCACTTGATTGGTTGAAACTACACCTATCAAATGCACTCATTCTTTTCATACAAATGTAAATACTTCATTCGAAAATTAATATACTAAAATATATATCAGATGGACTAAACTTTTCACACCCACTGTACATTCTATTGTCTGTAAGATCCATATTCATGCTGCCGGCGTGCTCCAGGACGTTGTGATGACATACTTCGTTGAAGAAGTCCATTGGGACCTCAATCGCATAGAACTGTAAACGACCCAACAGATCTATCTGTTGAGAAATCTGTGTTTATGGAGCGTTTACATCATGATGTAAAATTTATTGGCAACCGGTGTGGGTTTGAAAAATGTAAATTTTTGCTGATGTAGTGATGTACAGTAAGCACATCAGCCGGTGTGGAAGCCCTTAGAGCCTGGTCTGCGAACGAATTGTTCCTGCTTTTGGCCATTCCTGCTTTTGCAAAATCAGTTTGATAGGCTACAATTATCCGTAATCCGAATGTACGCCTTGCTTTTCGTGTCATGAAAAGCATGGACTCTCCATCCCTGCATGTAACCAGTCATTCCTGCTTTTCGCACGCTTTTGTGCGACCAAGTCAGCCATGTCTGACCATGAGGTCCAACCGCCGGCAGAGATGGTGTTAGGTTGAAGCAACACATACATACATATCATGCGT